TTCTAGAAATTAAAATTAACAAATTAATTTTTAATTGACCCAAAATGAACTCCACCCTATGCAAGCAAATTCTAAACTTTATGATTAGGAAGCCAGGTGCTTTCCGGGAGCAGCTCTTACCATTTTGGGCATTGAGGTCATTGCAGTGAATATTTTAATTTATTTGCAATAAAAGAACAAGTATTAATTTCTTTCAAAGAAAGTATGCTCTCTCACTAGGAGTCTGATACTTTGGAATTGGTTTGAAAAATGTTAGGGTTATCTTGGATACGAAAAATATTTCCAAATTCACCCCAAACGTAATTGAATGGGATAAACTTTATTTTTAACCTTTGAAACAATTAGTTAATAATTGATTTTGCTAATCTTCTCATCCGAACGGAAATGAGATCGTTGTTCAGAGGACATGATCACAAAATTGTGAGTGGAAACGAGTACCTGCTACGTACTCGTTTCCACTCACAATTTTTACCACCTAGTAAGATAAAGAACTAGTGTTCGGATGAGAAAACGTACCACAATTAAATGCAGCACTTGTTTAACGGGGTTTGTAGTAATCACTTTGACGTAAAGTTTTAGTTAAAAAAGTATAGAAAAACAAATCATTCGCGATGGCAGAAACCCAAAACTTTTTAGCGCAAGAAAACTTGCTATACACAGATCTGTCGAAAGTGAAGTATCAGATGGGCAAACACCAATCTCTAACGTAGATTTGCGAAAACAAAAATCACAGTCACCTTTTGGTTTAGCGTCCTACAAGTGCAAAATACTAAAATTTTAACATCGTCAGCAATATAAAAAATTGAGAATTATTTTGCATTTAAAGTAAACCAATACATTAGCTTTTCATCAAGCATTTCGTAAATCTTAAGAGTAGCACAAATCTTATTATAATTTAACTACAACTATAAGTTTTACTCAAATATAAATATATAAAAATAGTGGTTATTACTGGATGTCTTCTTTAACTACAGCTTTTCAAAAATCCTTTTCTTACAAATGGGTATTCTAGAATAAAGTTAATGTTAATCTTATTATTATTTGACCAAAAATATCCTCGGTTTAAAAAATAAGTTCTTTTTGTGACAGTTTCTTTTGAATTTGCTACAGTAAATCCAGCATTTTTGTTTTTCTGCAACATTGTTGATGATCACTATATTTGGAAAGGGCGACAATTTCTCATATCTGGAAGCGTAATACCATCCTATAGCTTTTTTGTATCACTGAAAATTATACAGCATATTGTGGTTGTTGAATTCAGATTTTTCCTGCAGTTAAACTATTTTATTTCTCTCACGGTTTTGTAAAAGGATAATCGATCTGCACCAATTTACTGTAGTTGTCCCAGTTATTCATACATTTAAACTAGTTATAGCATCTCATCTTGATGTCATTTACTTGGATTTTGCTAGCCTTTTTAGAAATCAAGGAACTTAAGCACTTTGATATCAGAAACAAATTATTTGACTGGATAAATTATTCTCTAACTCGTCGAACTTTTTGTACTAAGGTTGGAGACATTACTTCGGACTTTTCGTCACGCTGTTGTTCATTATTCACATTGCAAGGCTTCCACCCTTGATTAATTAGCAAACACGTTTTTATCTCGATGACACTAAAATTTATGATATAAAAAAACTGACCAACTGATCTTAAATCTTACAAACTTAATTAAAATTGGAGAAAACATTCCCAACTTGCCTTATTTTCTGCATAATTCCAGCTTTGAGTAAAACAGAAAAATTCTCGAAGCAATAGTTCCACACGCTTTCTTCACTAAAATACAGAAACAAACTCTTATCTCACCAACGTGTCTTTTTCAGTGGTCGACTCACTGCTAGAAATATTGGTCTTTAAATAACTTATATTGCAAGTTCATCAGAACTAGTAGACATGAAACAAGATTTTGAAAAAACTCTCGATCGCATTATTTACAACTTGCGGTCTCCGAAATTTTGGCGTAATGAAAATAGGGACAAATTACTTAATTGGTTATGTTCTTATATGCAACAATAAGAAGAAGTTTTTTAAAAGTATATCGCCGTGATTATTTGTGTCGTTTCATCTGATGTCCCACAGGATACCCATTTGGGGCCTATATTGTTTTCGTTGTTTATCAACGACCTAGCGCAGTCTCTCTCTCCTCTTGCAGTCGTTTACTATTGTTCGCGGATGACTTTAAAGTGTTTGATAAAAAATCTGAACGTAATTTATAATTGGTGTAGAATCCAAAAATTTAGCGTACAATGACGTTCGCTCAACGAAGTAGATGAAATTGCTAACCTTGGTGTTCTTTGATAAATTAATTTTTATATTCATCTTGACAATATTACAAGTAAAACATCGTATATGTAATATGTGGTTTTATAGAAAGGCAAATCCCAAAATTTAATGAGGTTAGAGCTGTTCGTAAGTTATTTATCACACCAACTCTTGAATATTGTAAGACAATTTAGTATCTTTATAATTCAGCAAGCCTGGCCCGAAAAAGTTCAACGGAAGTTCGTAAATTACTTAATTTTTAAAATGGGATTGAAAACATTTACAAACAGATTAAAATTAGCCAATTTTCAATCTTTTAAATTCAGGAAAGGTAAAAATCATAATTTATTTTAGGTTCTAAACTACTCAGTAACAAGGTCAATTGTACTGAACTGTTCAATTTATTCCACCTCAAAGTTCCAAGGTTTTCATCAAATTTTCACAAGACCAACTACGCTACTGTTTATTGTGTAATTGATGATATTGCCCATGCGATAAACTCCTTCTAGTTCAGATAATGACTTATGCAATTATTTTTAGGTTCTTTAGTTAAACAATGGAGGAATTAAGTATTAACAAAAATATTACTGTAAGCTAAGGAAGTATTGTAATCGGGTGACTGTTGCTTCCATATTTTCTCGATGGGTCATGACCCCTAGAGTACGAAAAAATGGGTCCCCGGTTTCTGTCTGTCTGTCTATCTGTCTGCCACGTGTGGTTTATAAATCCGTGTTGAGTTTTTAGCCGAAACGTCCAGATTTTTGAAAAAAAAAATCAAAAATAATTAACATAATTTTGCAATTTAATTTTAAATCTGCGAAACCGAATGCTTTCAAATTTTGCAGACATTTCATTTTTATTTTTTTTATTTGAAGTAGAGGGGATTAGGCAATCCAGGAAATCAACATAATGTCAATTCGCACCCGTATAATTGACATTAAGCAATAGTTTTACTAGTACTCACGCAGCATAGTACAATTTTACCCTGATTGAAAGGTGAATTTACAAAAATATTAAACATAGTGTTTTGAGGTCAGTCGACTTCTGAGTGTCGTTAATTTGGCTGCTTGGTTTTATACAGAACGTTTTCCGAATAGAAGAGCACAAACGGATACGATTTTCAAACGACTGGAAACTTATTTGAGAGAAAATTGGCCACCTCTAATAAACCTTGAGAAACAACAAGTACAGGAGCGGTAAACGAAACAGTGGTATTGGACTAAAATAATCCTCATGTGAACCAAAGTATAGTTGCCAGAACAGTCGACATCAGTCAACGATCTGTGCAGCGAATTCTGAAAGGAAACAACCATCATTCCTATCATTTAACATTAGTCCAAGAACTGAAACCCACAAATCATCCTGAAAGATTACCCAATTGCAGCTTCACCAAAATTAGGTATAATCACCCTTTTAAGATTGGTCCTTTTTTTCGTATGAAGCAAAATTTTCAAATAATGGTGTAATAAACAAGCATAATTGTCATGATTACACAGCATAACCCTCACTGGACTAAAAGGCATTTTAAGCAGTCGACGCCACAAAAGTTTCATGTAGGCAGCAGAAACCAAATTATTATCGCTCCCTATTTTTTTTTTTGAGACAATTTCAAAGAGATTTCATGTTTTCAAAGTAAAAAAATCTCTGTAAAAAATTATTTGAAATTAAATATAAATTGTTATACACGCCACTGATAGTATTTCTTGACCTACCATAACTACTATTCAACGTGCAAAAACACAATAAGGGCCAGTCATGTATCTGTTGGTTACCGTCGTATGTTCGGTTAACATCTTGGACAATGGTAAATTTTTTCTATTCAGAGCGTGTCCACATGGTAATGCTTTATAGTGTGGCCCGCGAATTGTGGATCGGGCGCTTTTCAAATGGCGCGATTCCGTGTGCGCGAACATCATTTCCGAGATCATGGTACGTTCAAACCTCAAACTCACGGTCGTGGCCGTGATAGGACCGAAAGAATACTGCAAACTGAAGAACAAATTTTGGAACACGCCGAAGAAGAGTCCGACATCAGCACGCGTGGATTTGCAGCTGAAGTTGAGTTTCACGGTTTATAGTGCATCATACATTAGAAGAACAAGGCCTAGATCCATACCACGTTCAAAAAGTGCAAGCTTTGGAGCCCGTGGTTACAATTATTGCATTATTTCGAAATCACCCTGTATTGTATGTATTTTTGCTCCTGCAGAGTTCATGTAGGACTTTATGTTGTGTTAATAACGATAATAAAATATTAACAAAATTTATATTCGCCTATATATAGACACTAATAATATCGAAGTGTGAGATATTTATGTTTCGAAACTGTTGTTTTTATTAACTGGGAGATCGGTAACTAAACGGTGAAGAACACAGCCATAGAAGACGAAGTGATTCGGGGACAAAATGGTGAGAAACGACAGGAATGATCGGACCGGGGACGAAACACGGAAGTTTCAAAAAAGGCCGAGAACGAACTGCCGGGACGAAACGGTCGAGAACCAAACCGTAACAGCGGCAAAGTGTGGTCCCTGCAAAATTTATATTCAACAAATTTCAATAAAGCAGCGGTATAAAGCGTATTCCATTTGAAATTATCGTGCGTCCCCTTCGTTCTATTTAGTCATAAAAATGGCATGTTAATTTAATTTCGTCGAGTTGCGTGAATAACGTTCCTTATTCCGTAAGCCGTTCTCAATGCCGCGTCGAATAAATTAAGTAAAACAACAGTAATTTACCTAATTCCAATGCGTCGGTGTGGGGAGCAGCAAGGAGCAACAGGACGAGCGTCGTCGACGCCGCGGCGACCGTCGATGGTCCGATAGTGGCCATGCCGACCGCCGTCATTATCGCGCCAGCGGCCGCATGCCAGCTCACGCACAGGTCACTCACGCACGGGTCACTCACGCACCGGGTCACTCACGCACTGACGGTCCGCGCTGCTCGAATCTTCTTTTCATCCGCTCATTGTTAGCTCGTTTAACTCTGGTTTGTGCCCGTCCGCGCTGCTGATGAGGGATGATTGTGAATCCGGCTCCACTTCTGCACATCGCTTTTATTCCTCCTGAAACAAAAAGATACTCAGCCTGTGCTCGTTGCATACTGATTCATATGTGTGAAATGAATTACAAACGAAACACTGCGGTCATTAGACTCACGACAGAAAACCCTTATAACCAGAATTACAACGTGACACGTGTTTCTAGCCTTTTCAAAACACCTTTCTTTGTTGTGGCGGATCCTCTGCGTATTCACGTATACTATAGAATTAATTATATGCAATTTAAACCTTCATTCTGACGGATTTTCTTTATGACTTTAAATTACCTCAACGTCCACATATACAGTGGTATTTTTTTCTACAATGTACCCTATTGTTGTGCATAACGTTCATGTTAAGCGTAATTATTCTATCTGTCGTATAATATTTTACAGAAGGTATTATGACCAAAGAAATTGATTACCCTCAGAGACGGACTAGCCCGGTGGGATCTAAGAAGGGCCGTGAATTCCATACTACATTTGTAATAAATAAAACACGTTATTAGTTGTAAACAAACAAAGAATGTCTCAAATGCCGATTAAGTTTAAAAAATTAATATTATAATTATTTATATAATAATTCACGAAAAATTAAATTACAATTCAACAATGTAATAACATAATTATTAATAATAATTCGTGAGTTTTTACTTCCCGAGCGTAAACTAAGGTATTGTAATCGAGTCCAATTGGGCGACCGGCTATTTTCACATTTTCTCGATGTGTCATGGCCCCTAGAGTACAAAAACATACATTTCCTGTTTCCGTATATCTGTCTGTCCGCCGCCCGTCTGAATTTTGTTAGATAGATAATCTCCGAAACTGTCAAATGTGATATTATGAATATAATGCAGATGGTAAAACGCTAACCAAACATCCCCACCAACAATGTGATGACTTCACTTCAAAATTGTACATAGTAAATCCAGATTTTTGGACAAAAATTATAAAACAACATTTTGCAATTTAATTTTGAAACGGCAAATCGAATGCTCTGAAATCTTACAGACGTTTTAAAATTATCGTAAGCATGGTAAATTTCTAACGAAAATATAATATATTAATCCTTCAAAAATTGATGACTTGTTATTTGTCATTTCATTCATACTTTTTGAAATTGCTTATACAAGGTAACACAAAAACATTAATGAATGCGTGAATTTATGTTATTGATTTAATCAGGAACTACAAAACCGAATGCTTTGAAATATTGCAGAAGTTTTAAAGTTATTGTAAACATGGTAAATTTTGAATCAAAATATATCTGTTTAACCCCTTTCCAAAAATTGATGACATCATATCAAAATCTTGGCGAATAAATCCTATCGAAAACGTGTAAGACTTGATGACTTGTGATTTATCACCCCATTAATATTTTTTAGAATTGCTTATACAGGCTGACTCAAAAACATTAATGAATGAGTCAATTTATTTTATTGATTAGTTTAGGAACGGCTCACTCCATTTTCCCGAAAATTTGGGAATACAGTACTGTTATTGTTAGTACTACACTGCACCTATTCAAATTGATAAACACATCCTTGCAAAAATGTTTATGACTTCATCACAAAATTTTGTAGAAGAAAAACTCATTTGAAACATAGGCGTAGCACGCTTTTTTACATATAATTTAATATTACATACATATGTTTATTAAAACTTACAGGGGTTCTCAAAAAAAAAGTATCTAGCAAATGATACATAAAAATACCTCATCATTCATCAGTTACGGGTCATAATAAATACACATTCATTTTGCCCACAAGAAGTGATCAGAGAACCTAATCAATAGTATTGACAGAAAAAAAATCTCGGATTATTTTTTCTAGTTTTTTTAAGGGGCTGAACACCTGCTTTTTCAGTCTCAAAACATTCACAACTTTTTAAGTTTACATGTACTTTTGGAGTCCAAGTAGTTTAAATTAAAGCGGAATGTAATAAGAAAATTCGACTAATCCTTGAAAATTATCAAAATTGATAATTGAATTAATAAATCTGCTAATTAAAGGAGGGGCAATATTTATGCATTAGTGGACACTAAAACATCAATTCTCATCTTTGAGATGAAGTCGGAAATAATTAGAAGAAAAAGTTTTTTTTAATTGGATAATTAAGTACAAATCTAAGGCAAAAAATAACGGCTGATTCATAAACCACTAGTATAGAAATAACTTATACAGTAGTTTTGGATTATATCTCTCATAAAATCACCAACAGGCTTTCAGATAAAAACGGTAAACTAGCTTTTCATACTCTACAAGTTATGGAACGTCGAGATATTATGAAATCAGCTGTTCACTGGATGGACCCCACTAGAATGCCTTCCTAGCTTACGCTTTGAAATATCTTTTTCTACTCATTAAGGTTGAAGTTTGTCATTTTCCCATCGCTGGCAGTGGATGAAATTTCATTTCACCCTCTAGTGGAAAAATACTCGGCCGTCTACGATTTTAACGGGTCGTCCAGCCTGAGCGTTTCGCAGCTAGCGAAACGTGTCGCGTATCGCCTGCACCGACCGCACCGTCCGCTTCGCGCGCTTCGAAAATCATGACGCCTAGGCTGGACGACCCGTTAGTGCTTGACGTTTAATACTGCTAGTTTACACAAGTGAAAACAATGAACATGAGTGAGACTGACGAAGTTTCTGAAGAAATTTTGAATGCTGCCAATGCGGCATTTTCGAATCTGATACAAGTGCAGTTATTGATACAGGAAGCAGCCAACTAAGTTTAAACAAAGATACAAGTTCAAATAATACTTACGATAAAAGTGTAAATATTATTGGTGATAATTGCACAAATTGTTCTATTACAGTTAATGTATTTCAAAAATAAAATACCTACCATAAACAAACATTTATTTCCTAATTTCTTAGAAAAAATAGTATATGCAACTCACGGATGAAGAAATTTCAACGGCTCGAGTTTCTTTTTCGCACTCGCTCGTTGCACTCGCTCGTGTGAAAAAATCACTCTCGCCGTTGAAATTCAACTTCATCCACTAGTTCCATAATGTACTATTATATTTGGTTATTGCGTTATATAATCTAAATTTTTTTTCTAATATTAGAAAAATAGTATGTTTTTCTGTTTCTGACATAGGTTTTTTACTGCATACGCACTTGATCAGGTACATGTATAACGAGCTTAATGTCTATATTGATTTGTACAAATACAAAATGGGGGTACTTCGGTCTATGCCTGTGAGCAAATAAGTTGTGAATAATTATTTAGTAAATTAAATATGACTCACTCGCTTCCCACTGGGCCGTTCGGCCTCCAGTCCGCCCCTGATTACCCCTATTACAAAGAGAAGAAAAGAAATCGATTTTATAATCAACGCAACTCCGATAAACAAACCATCATGGGCTAGCTCTCGAAATATCAGAAAACATAAGTCTGCGAGAAGGATTTCATCCATACTGATCACAGTATGGTTAGGGATACCGGAAAGGCCGTATTTATAGATGTTCCGCCAGTGTATAGAAAACAAAAATTGCCACGTCATTCCCTAAATTAAGTACAATAAATGATTTTGATTTAGTTTACAGTTTTTTAGCATTATGAAACTCAACTATAAAAACTAAACTACAAGTTAGAAATAAAAAAAAAAATGTTGCAAAATCAGGCAAAGTCCTTGCCTTAAAATAGATTAACATTATGACCAACAAAAAACTGGAGTGAAGGTATTTAGGTAGGACTTCCCTCGCATCTCAAATCAAACATTCAAATTCAATGTGTTAGAAAAAAAAATGGAGGATTGCATTTGAACTTTTGCGACCAGAGTTCAACTTCGCGAAGGCGCGGAGAAATCCATCGTCCAATACAAATACCGAACAAAAGTTTTTGTAAAGCAAATCAAACAAAATCAAGGTAGATTGATAAAGCACAATTTCAGCATAATTATTTAATTTTATAAAATGTAGTTAGGAATTAAGGAGTATATAAAAATTTGAGTATACCTCATTTAATTGTTGCTGGGGAATTTTGATTAGCGTTTTAGCATCTGCACGATATTGTTAAGAACATCAAAAATCGATCCAGTAATTTCGGAGATTATCGCTCTAAAAAAAATCGACAGACAGACGTAAACCGAAGATCCATTGTTATGCACTGTAGGGGTCATGAAACGTCAAAAACATTAAAGTAGCCATGACAATATTTCCTTAGCTTACTCGTGGGAAGCAAATAAATACAGCACTTAAATATTTATGTCATTTTCAGTTGATACAAAAAAAATAACAATTATAAAATATAAAGGATTACACTATTTTACGATAGTTCAAACATATAGTAACACAACTATTTTGAAACAGATCTTGTTGGTTATAAAATAAAGTGTTCCTAAAGTACAATCAAACAAATCCAATTTCTTAGATAATAATAATAAATTATAAAATGAAAATGATAAAAATTCATTCTGCGAATTTTATTTGTTTTCTGGTAACCCATATAAGTTAAAACACGAATAAAATATGCAAATTTTAAATCTGGACATCACAGTATGTAAAAGTGAATGTTTCTTAATAGAATTTTGTCATTACGTCATCAACTTTTAATCGGCGTTGTTGTAATTGTAATTAATCGCAACAGTACTGTGCCCCTAGAAAATGATATAAACAATTTTTAATTTAATAAATAAGTTATTTTATTCGTTAAACTTTTTTGAGACATTCTGTATAAGCAACTGTACATTTTAGCAGTGGAGACACAGTTTGATTGATGAGTTTAAATATAAAGATATAAAACAGGTTGTTATTACCAATTAATAGACGAAATTGTGTGACGGAAATAAATACAAAAATACATTCAATAAAAATAAAAAAGGATTTCTCCACATACCTTTTTGCCTTCGGTCAAAATTTTACGTTCATGACAGCTAAAAGTCCATTTTGGACAGTTTTGGGCGTTCTTTTAAAAACCGTTGCTTCTTTCAAATGATCTGATAAAGTCCAATTCAGCCACAAAATCAATCAGACCTCGAAATATACCTGGATTTTGTGGTTCCCTACTTTGGTCATGT